TTTCTGCAAGGAGAGGGACAGAGGAAACAAGGGTATGCTCATGGATGATCATTTCTGTGTCCACTGAGCCTGTACTTACTGTGTATAATGAGTAATCAAACCTTATCAGTGAACAACACTAATCAGCCTTCAAAACAGCACTTTGGTTCAGATTAATTTGTTATTGAAAATGTCCCACATGGAGGGGAGTGGGAGGAGGAGAAAAAAAAGAAAAAAATCTACAATCTTCCACAAAAGGAACATAAAAAAGAAAGATTAATTGTATCCTACTTTTTTTTTTGAGTGATCTTCATCATTCTGTGAGATATATTGGTTTTAGTCAACTTCCTTCTCTTCCTTGAGTTGATTCATCAGTTCACAGTATCTCAAAAACATGTGGCTACTATAATAAGATCAAGACTGCTTAAGAGAAAGCCAATTTGTACCAACGGGTTGTGCTAAAAGCTAATATACGTAGAAGTTTTCGAGTTGATTAAGACAGCTTCAAGAAGAAAAAGTGGCATTTCAACATTTTTGTATGAAATCTGACCTTCAAACTTGTTTTAACAAGCAAATATATCATTTCAGTAATGATCTGTTTACATTGACCACACTTTGACAGAGCTAAGGAGGTCTGAGTTTTTAGGGAAGGTTCTGTTTACCAAGAGATAATCGTTTTTAATGGACTTGCTCTTTGAACCTGAAAAGCAGTTTGGGGCATCAAGCAACAGCTCATGGGCTGCTTCTTCATCTACAGTAAAATAGCATCACTTCATTGACATCTGCATTTTTTAAGTCTAAGATTCATTTTAACAAATTAACTATCTATGTCTTTCTTTGAATTCATTAACAGAACCAGTCTTTAAAATGAAGAGTTATATGCATGTGTGGAGATGTTTAAAGACATAAATGAGATAAGACATCCAAGATCTACTACAAAATGTATGCACTGTTACATTTTTGAAAGCAGTTTCTTTTCCCTTTAGGACATCCTCTTGAATGTCAGAGTTGAAAAGTTAAGGGTGATACTCTATCCTGAAATTACCAGCTGAGCCTCATTGCTTTTTCCTGGCAAAATACGAAATTCAAATAAAAACATCTGTTTGAAAAAATTCTTTATCCATCCTTAGACTTCCTATTAAATTATTACTGAGTATAAGGAGGATAAATAATCGTGATGTTTCAGAGTAGAACTTTATATGCAAACTTCAGTAACTGTGTAGTAATGCTCTTATGCTCTACTCCTGAAAGCAGAGACAAAAGCACTGAACCAGAACACCTGGTGTATTTTCCACACGAAAGATTTCTAAATTAAAACAAACAGGGAACACACACATTAATTATCTACACTAGCTGATTGGAATTTAAGCCCACAAGCAGATCAAATGACCACATACTATAGTTTTTCAATACTGAAGTTTTGGAACCTCCAAAATAGAAGGGAGGGGAGACTGTTTGCAGCAAGTACAGCTGACTCCCAGGCTGCCTGCATGTGTTTGCCCCATGTTGCCTTCCTCCAGGACCCATGAGGCAGCACAGCCTGTCCCTGCTGCCCCGTCCCCTACCCAACCCTACAACAGCCGGGCCAGGTAGCTCCACCCCGGCCTTCACCTCTCATTGCCTCCCAGAGACAGGTGCCTACACAATACCAAAGGCAAGTCAATTGCCTGGAATTACATAGAAAGTGAAGTGCTTTGCAAGGTTTAAACACAGGTTTCCAAAGTCACCATGCATGTACCTCTGACCCATAATTGGGTTTGCCTGTTAGTCATTCCAGTCTGAAACTGCTGAACAAACAATGGGAATTTAATCATCTGGAAGCAGATTCTGCAAGCAAAGTCATAGTACTGTTTTTAATGTACTTTCTCAGGTGTTCAAAATATCTTGGTCAATTTTCTTCTGTTGTTCAATGAAGTGTGGTAAGCTTCTAAATTTGACATGAAAACTTCCAAGACACGTTTCTGCTGCAGCCAGACTAATTTGGCTGTCAATGTTCCATGATTAAGTTAGACATTAGGAAGAAGTTCTTTGCAGAAAGAGTGATTGGCATTGGAATGGGTAGTCCAGGAAGGTGTTGGAGTCACCGACCCTGGAGGTGTTTAAGAAAAGACTGCACTCAGCGCCATGGTCTAATTGACAAGGTGGTTGAGTATTGGCTACAACTGTAAGAGAAGTGTAGGGAACAGAACAAAGGTCTTTATGTAACCTTTGTCAACCTCACCAAGGCTTTTGATACTGTGAGCAGAAGAGGTCTGTGGTAGATTTTGGAACATTTAGGTTGTCCCCCCAAATTTCTCAAAATGGTCATCTCACTCTAGGAGGATCAGCACGGCCAAGTCAGATATGGCAACGTACTTTCTGAGCCCTTTCTAATAACTAATGGTGTGAAACAAGGCTGTGTTCTCGCTCCTACCCTATTCACAGTCTTTTCAGCATGATGCTCCAAAGGGCCACGGCAGACCTCGAGGATCAGGACGGTATCTACATTTGATATCGTACTGATGGAAGCCTTTTCAACCTAAGGCTACTGAAGGTCCAAACCAAGACCTTAAACCATCTTGTCCGGGAGCTGCTTTATGCTGATGACACCGCCCTTGTCACCCACACAGAAGCAGCTCTGCAGCGTTTAACATCCTGCTTTGCAGATGCTGCTGAGCTCTTTGGGCTGGAAGTCAGTCTAAAGAAGACAGAAGTTCTCTATCAACCTGCACCTCAGGAAGTCCCCCATCATCCCCATATCACCATTGGCCAATTAGAACTCAAATGAGTCCAACAGTTTAATTACCTAGGTAGCCTCATCTCCTCGGATGGTAAGATTGACGGAGAGATAGACAACAGGTTAGCAAAGGCATACAGTGCTTTCAGAAAGCTTCATAAAAGAGTTTGACAAACACCTGAAGAAAAGTACCAAGATCAGTGTTCACAGAGCCATAGTGCTGTCTACTCTCTTATACGGATCTGAATCATGGGTCATCTACTGCCACCACCTGTGTCTCCTAGAACGCTTCAATCAATGCTGTCTCCATTCAATCCTAAACATCCACTGGTCAGATTATGTGACCAATACATCTGTTCTCGAACAAGCAGCAATCACAAGTATTGAGGCCATGTTACTGAGAACACAGATGTGTTGGGCAGGGCACGTCTCAAGGATGAAGGACCACCGCCTCCCTAAGATCTTGCTTTATGGTGAACTTTCCACTGGCTGCCGCAAGAGAGGAGCCCCGAAGAGAAGATACAAGGACTCCCTGAAACAACATCTCAGCCTTGGCCATATTGACCACCATAACTGGTCTGCTCTGGCCTCAAATCGGGAGGCCTGGAGACACACCATCTATAACGCTGCTGATGCTTTTGAGAAAGCACGCAGGATCACCCTCGAGGAGAAAAGGCAACGCAGAAAGAATCGTGCCTTGCAGAATATACCACCTAAGGAGTCTTTCTGCTGTCCCTTTTGCAAGCAGACATGTCTATCTCGTATTGGCCTTTTTAGCCACCAATGCGCTTGCAACAAACGTGGGTAGAGCCCTCCCCAAATCTTCTTTCGTGAAGCCCAGCCATGATGATGATGAGTATTGGCTCAAACTCGATGATCTCAGAGGTCTTTTCTAACCTAGTTGATTCTGTGATGATAGAAATAAACCTTTAGGACACATTCTTATACAACTTTTCGAGCCTAGTTGCTAGGATCTCATACTTTCCTCCCACTATAATAGGGATAATGATCTCCTTACTAAAAACACAATCACAGGAAAAATGTTATTATAAACCTTCTTTCTGCAAATTAAGAACATTGATTTTTCATTACAATGCAGAGCACAGCACATAATGTGCAGAATAATAACTCTATTGAAACATAGATATGCATATCCAAATGGTAAATCGTGAACAAGAACAGAGGTTATTTTGAATGAAAATAATTCATTAGAGTCCAGTTCTTTCCCATTTTACTTGCTCTTAACTTGATAAGTACCTTGGCTTTTCAATTTTTACCTTAAAACTTCTTTTTTTGGCCACTTAAATATCAGAACTTAATTTAGAAAAGTCTATGCATGTTAAAAAACATAAAGAAAGAGGGACAGAACAGGAGGTTAGGCTCACTCAATCAATTGTGTGAGTATCATTCATTTCCCCAGGTAAATCAAGCAACCTGAGGTCAAACATTCATTCCTTGTGTAAAAACAATTAGAAAGTGCTAGATTTGTCCAGAAAGGGGTATCTTGAATATTTCAATAACAAAGATGACTGCATTAGAGGGATTGGTTCTAAAGTACTGCATTCCACAGTCTGAATTTCACAGCTCTGCTCCAAGCAGCAGCACCATTGGAAGTATCTGAACACCATTGACTGTTCAGCATTGGTTTAGTACTGCAAGATGAATGTAGGAGTATGGCATTTATCAATCTGATATCAAAAATATTCGGGACTGTATTAACAACACGACTGTATTAACAATATGACTGTATTAATGATAAAATATGTGACAGTTCTGCAGAAAGCTGAATTTCTACAGCACTTCCACAGGAACTTAACTGCCAGCTACAAGACAAAAAAAAAGAACCTCATGATTTATACTGATGTGCATAAAGTATTTTCTGTCTGATAGAAGCAAATCAGATTGTGTTTCTGAGAAAATTTGCCATGGAATGAAGGCACCCACCTTATTCATTATTTTATATAAAGAACAAAGTTAATAAGATAATGTCTGGTGACCAGATCTGCTTCCAGTGAAGATAACGAGAGCATTGTTCCAAACTTCAGCAACAGCAGAAACAGGAATAATAAAAGTTAGACTCAATTTTACCATAAGCTTACCTTTAGCAAGCTAGTAATTTATGTAACTGTACCTTGACATCTCCATCGTCACAGGAAAACACAGACAAAAACTGAATTCATAGGACTGTATCAAAGAAAATATATCAGCATCAATAAAACGGGAGATTTTTAGTCAAATGCAGTTAAAGCATTTAGTCATATTTAATTTCCTTTGTGTCAATCCAGTTAGTTCATGTACTACTTCATTAGTTTCTAATTCATCAAATGTTTATTTCAGTCTGCTCACAAATTACCCAGGAAAACAAGTTACAGTACTATTTTTATGTATGTCTGTTTGTCCCCTTTACTGAAAATGGAATGAGAGTGTTTATTCCATGTAATGAATGTAGCACAGCTTTTCATCAGTTTTATAACAAGGGAAACATTTGAAGTTTTCTGGCCTCTTGTTTGAAACACACTCTGAAAGTGCATATTATATTATTCAGACTCAATAAAGAAACCATCACTTTGGAGAAGCATACATAGAAAATATTACACACAGGTGATTAAACATGTGCTAACAATTCTCCTTAAATCCCAATATTTTTAAATGCCAAAATTCTTTACCATACACAGACACAATAAAATCACTTTGATGTGCGGGTAGATCATGCTTAAATTGGATTTCCACAGCACAGACAAAGGTTACAGACATTTAGCTGAGAACAATATTGATTATAGCTCTGATATTGTTCAGCAGAAACCTAAACACTCTTCACTGTAAAAGAGTATGACAAATCAAGTTGTCAAACTACATACTTTAGAATCAATAACTGTTGGGGCAGAAGTTTCTGGCATAACTCAGTTTTATGATTAAATGTTACTCAGTATAAAGTTACGCATTGTAAAGAGAAGAGCCAGAATTTTCTTATCCAGAATCAGCTGGTACAACACTATCTCTTCTCTCCACAGAAGTGTGTTTTAGTACTCGCTCAAGTACAGCAAACATGGTGCCGAAACCTGACCATCAGACCATCACCCAGGCTCTTTTCACTTGAGCTTATTTTCATGAGTTTCTAATTTGTCCTATAATAAACTATCTTTAGTTCAAACTAGCAGGATTTCTGAAATATTCCAGAAATGTATGTCTGGATGAGTTGAATTCAAACTGCAGTGGTAATCTGCGTCAGTCCTAGGTCGTTGGACTCCTCTCTCTCTTGAGGACAGTAAGATGACATTTCCACGACTAGTCATACGGGTTTGTTTGTCCCACATGCTTCCCTCATATAAGCTGGGTCCTGCACAGTGTTTCTAACTCTGCTGGTGCTCTGCCTGTCCATCTTCATCTTAAGGGGGAAGCAGAAGTCCTTGAAACATCTCTTGAAGTTTTCATCCAAAAATGCGTAAAGGATTGGATTGAGACTGCTGTTGGTGTAACCCAAAGCAATACAGAAGTAATAGCTGGATACAGCAGCAGTACTATGGGACACATCCCCTAGTGCTTCAACCAGTACGAAAATGTGAATAGGAGTCCAACAGATAATAAAAACTGCCACAACCACAAGAACCAACCTGGTGATGCGACGCAGGTTTCGATCTTTCTCTCGAGACCCCGAGAGGAGTCGTACGCTTTTAAGACGCAGAATCATCAGACTATAGCAAACAATTATAATGAGAACTGGAATAACAAATGCAAAGACAAAGACACAGATTTTCATGAAGAGGTCCCACCACACGTAATCTTTGTCTGGAAATTGCAAGGAGCATTCTGTGCTAGCAGTATCTGGGATGAAGAAAGCAAGAAGAAAATTACATTATTATTAGACATTCTAAACAGTGTAATTGTCATAGTATAAGCTAGGAAGTTATTATCATGTAATGTGATATTAATAAATGCAGTTATCTTTAAATCACTCTAAGGAAAGCTTTCAGTTACCATTGAAACTGGTTTTATGCAGCCGTCTCTAGAAATTACTGAGAGTTTGGGGCTTTTTAAAATTCATAACATTGTATAAAATTTGTTTCCCATGGGAGGATCTAAAAAAGCAGATCACAAAAACAAAAATTTGTAAAGATGTTTTCATTTGAATCTCATTGAGATTTAAAGCCAGAATGTGAACCATGTTCAGTAGAGTAGAAATCTCACCATTATTATCAAACTACACATTTTTTTTGTGTAAGTGAAGGCACATTTTTGGTATCATGAACAGTGGAAGCTGAAGGAGGTTTTGATTGTAGAAAGATTTTAGCAATATATGATAACTGTGTAATAATCTTTTCCCATGTGCCTTCTTCAGTGCAAATAGAATACATGTGTTTGCATTCAGAAAAACTTATTTCCTGGCAACAGCTTCTTTTCTGCCAAATAGGAGCAAATAAAATATGTGCGCACATGAAGTCAAAAGGAAGCTACTCTTTTTACAGGTCATGCCATTGAAAATGCAAACTATGCAGAGACTGCAAGATCTGGGCCACTGAGACGAGTCCACGCCCATTCTGATTTTCCATGCCAGAATTCAAAGTCACACGCTGTCACTTGATTTTATGTTACAGAAATATTTCATCTGAAAGGACGCATCTAAGCAATTCAATATTTGAGGTTTCACTTGCTGATCTCATTGGAGCCTTCCAACATATAAAACATAAGGAAAACCAAGCAAAAAGATAAATGAAAAGGCAGCAGAAGGGATAAATTTACAACTACTATCAGTAGTTAAACTCTACTGAAGACAAGTCAAGGTAACAGAGGGATTTTTCACTCTGAATTGTAGCTTAGATTTTACTCTCTAAAGCACTGCATTGTTTTTTAGATTTTTTATCATTTTCCCTATTGAATTTATTATTCCTCTATAAATTATTACATATTGACTTTTACTGAATAAAATCTAAGGGTAGAATGATTCAATATACTCTTGAACACCACTTTTTTCATATCTGTCTCAAGCAGATAGCAGGACTCTCACTAGCAGGACTAGTCAGAAAAAAAACCCATCAAGCCATATTTCCCTGCTATAGAAATGTTTCACAAATCAAAACAATATTGCAGAGAATTTGTTTTCAAAAACAACTAGGGGAAGAAATTATCATTGTAGTGTCAATTTCCCCAATTACACATCAGAAAGCCGTTACCGGGTGATATTAAGTACTAAAATATTCAAATAGAAATAGTTTACAGCTAAAAGCTAAATATTTTGAGGTTTTATTTTAAATAATATAACTAATCATTGATTCTGAAAGATGAAAACTGAAAAGACATATTTTTCAAGCCTGATACAGGATGCTAAGATGACAACACAAGTATGACTTAACAGGGTCTTGACGCTGAGTCAATTTGTTTAAACCCTTTGTGATTTAAAGTGTAGTTGCAAGTGTAGTTGCTTTTACTTAATTTTATTCTAGAAATGTCAATAATCATCTCAAAAGAAGTTTTCACATTGATTATTACTGTTATTCGTAGTAGATCATGGCTTAGCTGCAGCAATAATATAAGGTTGCAGCTATATTATCTAATAAAGCTGCATCCAGATGTGCAGGTCCTGATAAAAGCAAGCATGATCATGGATGACTGCTCTGGGCACCACATCCAGCTACTCACTGAAACCCACTCCCAGGGGAAATGGCCTCTTATAGATCTTCTGACATAATTTCATATATTTATCAAAATTATAAGGTCATGAGTTCCATATAATTCATAGCATTACATATATCAGGTGTAATACACATTCTTGTCATTATTGTCACAATATCATGATAGTTTTCTGGAACATTGGAATAGAATAAAATCAAATTTATATTTTATTTTTACCGCCTGAAAAGTGCAAAACTACAGATAGTGTCACATAGTAAGTACTTAAGATTTCATACTGACCTTTTCAACTCTGAAAGCCCAATATTTCAAATACATTGATATATAAGGAAAAATACTGCATTCTAGATGGTATTTTAGTGTAAATATATGTTTTAATGTGTTTAGTAAGCTACCATTTAAGATTAATCTTAATCTCAACAATATATGTATTGGATATATTGATTGTGTCACTTTCAGGCATCCATACCCCTCTGTACTGAAACAGAGCTTCATACCCTTACTGGCAATACTAAAAGTACCTCTAATTTTTTTTATTTTTTTTTTTTTTGGTGAATAATTTGTCAGAAAGAAAGGTTCCATTAAGGATAAGGACAGGGAAAGAAAATTTACATATGTGTAAAATTTATTCTGCAGGAAAAATGTATCTGAAAGGATACAACTTGGAGCAATTCTGTACTGTAATACAGAATGGACTAACTGAGCACGGTGAGGGAACTTTAATCACTTTTCATTTGATGTTCAGTCGTTGCTTAAATCTGAACCCAGAAGAGGCCCTGAAGCATATAAACACAATTGTTTTGGCCAACATAACATAAAGATTGTGTCCTAAGCTCCAGTTGTCAGACAAAGGGAGGATCCCTTCAGCATTTATCAGAGCAATTTATGAACACACCAGACAAGGTAATTGACACTGAATGCTCAAGAGAGACCTTAGATCAGACAAGAAGGGATGAACAGTAGTGGCTGACAAGCATTTGCCAATATTTCCAACCTCATTTAGCCCAGCTAAGCTCTGTATTACCACTCTGTTTCATAAGTAAAAAAAAGGGCTGTCTGCCACATGGCATGGAAAAGGTATTTAATCATTGCAGGCCTCAGAGCACATCCTTGATCTAAATGTGATGTTGACAGTGAATGACAGGAACATTCTATTAGTTAGGTGTGCTCCAACAAAACACCTGTCTGAGTCAGTGTCCCATGGCCTTCGAGATCTCGTGTGTAGCAGGACGATCATTCTTCCCAAATATGCCTGGAAGTCAATGTTCCCTTAGCTAGACACTGTTTTATAGAGCCTGTCAAAACTTTACTAGGCAGAAGAATTACATTACTGCAGACGAGGACACTTGATCCCTCAAAGGACTGAAAGAAGAGTTTCCTGAGGACTCTCCTGTCACTTACATACCAGAAGACCAACAACAAGAACAAAATCTATATATCTTCAGCCAAATCTATCAGCCCTCGAGCAGCTGCTACCAAAATGCTATTTGCTTTGATCTATGTCAAACAGCTTAACATTATTGTCTCTGCCAGATAAAACGGTGTACTTACACAAACTTTACCATTTGGTTTGATAGGAATGAAGCCTTTCTAAATAGCAAATGTTGTTAATTCGGGAAATTATTAATAATTTTTCAAAATATTGTTTACATCTCAAACAAACCAAATAAATATGCTTGTCTTGTATTTTATCAAGCCGCCCATTAAACAGGATGATCCCAACCCAAGGACATCATTAGGAGTCTCTAGCCTTTTGCAAACACTGAGGTACTACTGTACTGCGGTCATGCTGGTGGGAATGAAGTATATGTGTGTGTGAAAATGCTTCTACCCTTTCCTTCTCAAGGAGGATTTCAAAATCAAATTAACCCCATAGCAAGTCAGTTTTGTAATGAGTCATTAGCTATAGGGGCTAAATCCACAGTCCTTCATGGATTATAAATTTCAAGTAAAGTCTATGCATGGTCTGCATACATATCTCATTGACTCCATATTCTTGTAGCAGCTTCCCTACCATGGTCTGAATTTCCAGTTCCTCTACTGATCCTAATTCTCAGCTTTTCCACATCCCCAGATATACCCCCATCCTTCCTTAAACAAGAATTTGAGATGTTGTCACACATAATTTAGTTTGATTTTCTCTCTCCAGCTACTGACTTTTCCTTTCTTCACCATGCCTTCAAATTCTGTGAAATGGCTGGTGATAATAAGCTCCCAAAAATTCTTGTTTCTGCTCTTAGAAATTCATCAGAACTGCTCTCACACCTACAAAAAAAACACCTTAAGCCCACATTTCAGGTTTCAACCTAACTGATTTTAGATTTGTCAATTGTGAATAAATTCCTGATTATTTTCCCCTGCTGTCTACTAGTAGTTCTTGATGGTCTCATTCTACAACAGACATTTTGTTCTTTAGTTGACCAGAGCATCTGAGCTTACATTATTTATGTGTCATAGTGTAGAGTTCCACAATATATTTCAAAATTTCAGGAAATTATATGTACTTTCTGAAGAAGGAATCAGCCAGGTTTAATCAGTATTTGAACGTATATTTTATGTCAGCTGAGAAAAAAAAGACTGAATTTTGAATGCTCATACTCACCTTCTCTGACTTTGGTACCTCCAAGAACTATTGCAGATATACCAACAGATGAGGACAAGAGCCAGATACAGATGTTGATTATCTTTGCTTTGAGAGGTGTACGGAAGTCCAGAGCCTTCACAGGGTGACACACAGCAATGTATCGATCAACACTCATCATGGTCAGTGTGAATATGCTGGTAAACATGTTATAATAGTCAATAGAGATTACTATTTTACACAGCACATCACCAAAGGGCCAAGAGTTCATCAGGTACTCGGTGCTTTGGAAAGGCATAGTTGTGGTAACTAGAGCATCTGCCATAGCCAGGTTGAAAATGTAGATATTGGTTGCTGTCTTCATCTTTGTGTACCTGCCAAAAAATAAGGCTTTATTATTTTAAAATATGATTATGCTCATTCAGATATGTATCAGTCAGGCTTTGCTAGAGTTGTTTTTTTTAATGTCTTGTCTCATCTATGACAGAAGTGCACACAAATGCAGGACCTTTGGAATAATAGTGAACAAATTTTACTTAGTCTCTCAGCACCTGCATTAGCAGTTAGAGCTATTCACCACAGGTAAAACCAGGTACATGAACGTATTTAATCTAATTAGCCAAATCCTGGTTTCAATTCTATTTTTTCAAATCCTTCTACAAGAAAATATCATTGTTACACTTGCAAGTGACCAAAATGTTCTGTTTCCTTTTCTTATAGCCAACTATCAGTAATTGAGAGCTTTCTGGGTTTGCTTTGTGGAAGGAACAGTTATGCCACTCTTCAGTAAGAATCCATGTTAATTGTGATGTCTGTTGGGCCAGAATGTTTCTTATATGATAGTTTCTCTTCCTTGAATTCACTACAACACCAACTGATACAAGTTTTAGTCATTTCCTTTCCTTGTTCTTTCCTTACCAATTTTTCTCCTTTCTTATCATCAGCTTTTCCCAGTCCACTCTTTTATGACAGCTAATGTAAAAGATGACTATTTAATATGATAACACAATGGGGAAAAAATTGTCATAGTAATATTTTTTTCCTGCATCCTTTAATTTCATCAAAATGAAGCACTTGTTTTGTCCAGATGGTAGAGAACCTCAACCTACACAGAAGAATAAGATCTATTTTTTGAGGTGACACCCTGCTTTGTTCTACCTCAATGACTGTTTTGGGGACAGCCAGTGGAAGACTGCTTCCAGCTCTGAGATGGACACAAAGGATGAAGGAGAGCCTTAACAGGAATATACCTAACACTTCTTTCTGAAATGCTTGCCCCCAATTAGTCGTGTTTGCTCATCGCTGTTAGTTTATCATTGGATTCAATGAGAGATTTTCTTCCTTAAAACTGTTTCAGCCCCATATGTTGAGTGTGTGCCCAAACTAGAATGTGCACATGTAACACACAGAGAAACACATATAGCTATATTTTGCTATATGACATTTATAATTTACAGTGGAAATAAAAAATGTGATCCCTATGAACACATAGGGCAATGTATCTATTTGCCTTTAAAACTTTGATGTATAAAATAAAAAATAATTTAAAAAAAAAAAGGTTGAGCAGTGCTGTCAAAATATGTCTGATATGTAAATTAAGTCTTAATTAAAATATAGGCAGAAATGTCATTTTATGATCAATGTGAAATATTAAAAATAGCATTTTTTTCCCTAAAATACTCTAATTAAGACTTATTGAGAAAATAATACTAAATGCTAGCTTGAAGCACAGAAAAGAAAACTGCAAGGGAAAAGACAGTAAATCCTTCTCACCCACACACCAACCCATCAGTCAGGGCTGGGCTTCTGCCCCCTCACCAGATCAATCTCCTCAACAGGCCTACCAGGAAGGGTGGCAGTCTGTCCTGTAAGTTGAATTATAGCCCTTAAGGCACTGTTCAAACACAAACATGAGAGTGTGTGGCTAGAAAACAAATATAAGACATATTAACAGACTAGGAACTTTCTTACTGGCTAAAAAAAAGAAAACCAAAGAAGAAATATCATCTCCAAGTGCATCTTGGCTGTAAGACTGAACAAAAGTTCACTAAACACTCAAATTGCAAATCTCTGCTAAAAATAGACTAAATTCCATTAAATGTCTAAAAAGTAGTAGTAGAAAGATGATTTTACTTCTATTGACATCACTGTTTGATTTTTTGAACTGTGGTCTTGTTCATACTGTCAAAAAAAAAAAAAGCTCTGGGAAGTTGGAATGGTTGCATAAAAAGCACCAAAAAAAATAAGTGAAGTGGAGAAAATTCTTTCTGTGAGTAACTTAAAGAGCTCAGTACATTTAGTTTATCAAAAAGAGCACCAAGAGGTGACCTGAAGACCTCACAGGGAGAAGATAGAAGGTACTGAAGAGTTTTTCAGACTACAAGGGAAAGCATAACGAAGACAAATACGTAAAACTCTAAAACAGACAAATTCAGCTTAGAAACAATGACAGATTTTTCCTAACAGCTAAATTGATTACTGTTGGGAAAAAAATACACAAGAAAGGGGTAATTTTTCCATATTTTGTTGTCTTCAAATCAAGATGTGTTGCTTTGCAAAGGGTCTGTTTCAGTCAAACACAAGTTGCTAGTCTCAACACAGGGATATTTAAATAAAATACAATGACCTTTGATAAGCAGAGGTGACACAACTAATCATTCTTCTGAATCATTAATTCTATAGATCTTCAAAAACTTTCCTTAGGGATAGGTAGGGAAAGTTTCCTTTTTTTTCTCTAAGAAAAGCAGAAAGCTAGGGAAAATACCTAAGAAGATTTTATTAGACTTGAAAAATCAGATATCTGAAAGTCTTTATATCTGTCATTTCCCATTCCTGGCAACCTTAATTCTTTTTCATGTGTGATACTACAACCATGTATAAAATATTTTCCGAGTGCCCCTTTTCCTTCTTCCTAGCCTTCCAGTGGAATAGGAAAGAACTGCTGCAACACAGGACTAGTTTTTCACATATCTTCAAAATTCAAATGTTTGAAGCTGCAACATTTTTGAAGCAGCTGTCTTTATCTGCCCTGCTTATGCTTTACGTGTAAATTGTGTAAGTTTGGTTTTTTTGGACTACACAACACAAAAAAAGAAAATTAATTTTATCCACTACTATTCATCAACAGGAAGGATATCTTAATAATTCACAGGCACAGAGAAACACAGTCATCCCAGCATCAGCATTTAACAACTTCCAATGTAACCAAATCAAAGGTGTATATGGGAATGAAAATTTAATGAGGAAAAGAAAAACCCACAGTATGCTATTTCTCCCATACAGCTTTGTGAAGGATTTGACTCATTTCAGGGGTGTATATGCACATAAAAATCCTTGTTTTGATAACCTTACCTGGTGTGCATCTAAGCCTTCCCCACAGCTCACCAGCCTGCAGTTTCATGACTAAATGGCCTTACCCTAATCCACCCCAGTTCACATCCCCCAGATGCCTCCTTGCCCCACTCATTCTGCACCAGAATAGGCACCCGACCGCTTCTTCGACAGGCTTTGAACAAGAAGGCATAAGAACAATAAATTCTGCTACAACAAATATTACATTTAGGCAATCCGTTCTCCCAGCACTGCAGAAGCATCATGCATACCTAACTCAGGGATGAAGGCTGCACTGGTTAACCCCAGCAATTCTAAGTACAAGCACGTTTTACTGATGCAACCTCAAAACCCATTGATCTCACACTGGTAATATAAAGAGCTTGATTACTTTCACCTGAAAACATTGGCCTCTGTATAAATGAGATCTTGGCCTTTAAAGTCATAAGCTAGTATAGATTAAATCATAAATTAATTTAGAAGTTCATAAAATTCAGAAATACCTTTGAGAATCTGGACTCAATCATCTAAATGCCCTTCAGTGTTTTTAATTAAACACCTAAAAATCATTAAATGCCCACATGCCTCTGAAGATATATGCTTGCAAGCTTAATCAAAACTCCAGTTAAAGGAGTGATGGTTGTTGCTGTCAGACACTTTGAAGAGGACCCTGATAGAGTCCACAAGGTGAAGGATTTAAATGCTTTTCTACAACTCATTTCATTGCACCAAAATATAGGAGGAAATATTTCAGGTGATTTGGGATTTTCCCACCATACCCACCATTCACCCAAATCTGCACTTGAACAAGGTCAAAACAGTTATTATGTAAGGAAATCTTGTTCGCCTTTGCCAAATTAAAATTATATCAATACCTGCTTTCATTTAAGTTAAAAATACTGCTGTCTACTTTAATTAGTTTAGCAGGACAGATAAGGGAAACCTGGACATAACTACAGCATAGATGGTAATTAATGACATTTTCTTAGTGTCTTTGAGAGGTAAGTTTCAAAGACTATTATAATATTTGTACTGCTGTATAAACTGTTCATGTGAAATCCCATGTCTAGAAAGTGGTTTGTGAAATACTGAGATTTCATAAGAGAATGATAACTTTTTTAGTACTACGTAGGAAGGGAAAGTCCCTCTTTTAAGTCAGACACTAGAATCTAATTTCAAGAGGCAGTAAAACCTCTGATCACTTAAGCTGGTGGATCTCCAGACTGTTTGTTAAGCTATAAACAGGCATCATGCCTCTGTAGACTTTAAGCAACTGGGAAATATATCAAAAGAAAAATAGTCAAGATGAAACATAACACTTTCATTTGGATGGGGGTTTTTAGGTGGATACACAATGAAAGCTTTTAAGAAGCAAGTTTAAAATTATGATTACTTACATGTCAAAAGTAAAATTCTCAGAAATAAAATTCTCAAATTTAATTTGCTTATGTTTTTTAAGACAGTGAATAAGAAGAATTCACACCTCTAGCGTAAGCTGTCAATGACATTGTGGTAACAGAAGAGAGAAGCACGCCATTGAGGAGCTGGTATGCTTTCAGAAAAAAATCTGCTGGTAAGGCCCCTTAAAGTTATTATCTCAAGCAGAGAACGGAAGTGGGATCCTAAAGGAAGCTGTAATATTAGAAAAGCTAATAAAATCTGAGAAGGAGGCCCTGGACAACCTTTTTTGCTGTAACTGTAATAGGATGAAATGTTCCCTGCAGTATGAAAAGAGGGATGGGGAAGGGAGCAAAACTAACAAATACACCACAACATTCTCCAGTAAAAGTGTGAAAATACAAAAGCATAAAATACAATGAGGTATAGCAATGAGGTATTTTTGGCAGATGCCTGGGTCAGTGAATGAAAATGAAAGCTAAGGCACATCTAAAAACAAATTGCAAAAACATCTATCAGCAGGATGCAGGCTCTGTTCTACTAGGTTGCTCTGAATGAATTATATGGAGATCAAGCAGCTGAAAATCCTAGTCAGGAAAACTCTAAATCTCAGGACTATAATCACAGTACCCTCAATACAATACTG